AGAGAGAGAGAGAGAGAGAGAGAGGAGGAGGAGAGACGGGGGAAGAGGAGAGCTGATGCCTAAGGGAGCCACTCGGAGGAGGCAGACCAAGCAGTATCTCAACTTCTCATCTTTGTTTATCAGCGCGAAGCGAGATCGCTGGAAATCTGCGGGGGTTTATAACTGGATCATTCCCATGTCAAGGCTGCGGCTGGGGATTTTGCTCCATTAACTTGAAGCCACTGGCCTCCCCCCTTCCTCACTCAGCGATGTATTCACTGCTCTCAGCCTGCACTTGCTTGTAAGGATTATGACATTAAATTTTTTTTTTTGGGGGGGGGTAAACTTTCATCTTTTAAGGCTCCGGTTGCATTTTCCTTGCAATCAGGTGGTCATTGAGACCCGAGCCTTTCCTAACCAAAGCATCGATCTGTGTTATTAACAATAATGATGATGATGATGATAATAGCCATTTCACTGCATCATTTGATCTTTTGTTGCTTTTTTTTTCTCCTCTCCAGATGTTTACATTCCCTGCTGCTGTGCTTTCAGGTACAGGTATGTGTCCTTTCTGTCTTCGCTCCCTTTGGGTTGGAAAAAGAAACAAAGGAGGCGTGTTGACCTCTTTGAGTGTCAGGCAGTTTTGCAAAGGGGTTTCACCTCCCCCTCCCCAGTTTTATAGTTTGATTAAAATGATCACCACGCCAGGCAGTGGAGTGTCACTTGCTCTGGAAACCAGCTGCACCTCCGGCTAAACCTCATTTCAATGACTACTTCTGTTAATCCACTGTAGGAACAAATTATCTTTAATTTCTCTTACCTCCCCCCATCCCCTTTTCAAATGGCCACAGCTCGATTGTGGATGCCAGTAGCCTACATTAAAAGGATTCTCTGGAGTGCATTAGCCTGGCTAATGATGTGAGCGGAGTGTTGGACTCTACTACTTGCAAAATGTGGATGGATGCATGTGTAGTGGAATAGCAGGCGCTAGATCTCCTTTTCCTAGGGAACCTACACGAAGTGATACTGAAAAAACACGAGTGTCCTTAGCCAGAAAAAGGAGGCTTCTTGCTCGCCCCATCTCCCCCACCCCACAATCATACAGTAGAAAGCCACCCAAGCAAGATCCTGCCTTCGAGCTGCAGAAATGAAACAATTCGAAAGTCACTGGGAGCGAGACTTCTGCCGTCTCGTGAAACTGACAGACAGGCGGAATAGAGATGGGGGGGGGGAGAGTCTGAAATTCGGGGTGGAGTGAGTTGAATCACATTTTCCACGACAACAAAAATACGGGTTAAAAACAATGTGGTTTGCTTAGACATAGTTTTCGCTGGTGTAAATGCAACACGTGCGTCTGGAGAGGACACACCCGCGATCTCGAGTGTTTCAGAGTTGGCAAAGCAGGTGCTCCAGTTTTGGGAGCCCTTCCGTCTTGCCCGGCCCTGCTGGTGTGCCCTGGGCTGGGTTCCCACTCGCATTCTGAGGAGCTGCCGTGTAAACCGGTGGCGGTCCCAGTCCTTCCGCACCCTTAGGGTCAGTGCCCATGCAAGATGGCCAGGAATGCACCTGTTCTTCCAGGGGTCTCTGGCAGTATTTGAGGTGGGGAGGAACGGATCCTGTGCAAACGGATTAAAGTGTCTGAAATACGACCAGTGCCTCGGGCCAAATTTGAAAACTTTGCCATATCCACCTCCTCCCCCCCGAAAATTGCAGCTACATTATAAAAACAAAAGAACTCCTTATTTCAGCACAGCAGCCTCCTAGTCAAGAGAGGGGATCTACAGCTGTAAATTACTTTGTGGTTGTTGGAAGGCGTTTGCTGTATTTCTCCAGTTCATCCCCCCTCCCCCCCCCAAGAGGCTGGACAGGCAGGACAATCAGCGATTGCACCCTTCGCACTAAGAAGACATTTTTGAGATTGTGTGGTAACTGAAGTTAATCAACCCTTCATTCCGTCCCCCCCCCCCCTCCCAGCCCCCTTGTTGCTTTTAGTGAATCAGAAGAAGTTTGGCTCACTGCCTGGAAAGCACTTGCTAAAATCTGATCTCTTACTTCAACAGCCTTAAAACTTGGGAAGTTATTGGCATTTATACAGTTGGAGCTTGCAGGCTTCCAGAGCAATAAAATAATGAAGAAAAAAAAAGAGAAAGTTCTGTACTCTCTTACTATTAGAACCATACTTTTTAGATTTAGTGCTGATTTTGCAGCATTTTGCAAGAAGATCTGACACTGGGATTTACTCTGAGGTATCTTCTTCTACCACTTTTCTATGGTGGTGAATCAAACTGGTTGTTATAACAAGAGCCAAACTATTATGGCTTGTAGTGTGGGAAGCCAAAACGTTAGGTTAGTCATACTCAAGGGCCTGAAAGAGAGTGTTTACAATATTAATGGTAGATAAAAAGATGTGAATGCAGTGAGTTTTTATTGCCCATTTTGTTACACTTTCTCTCTAGATTTATTCATGAGATTACATGTTTAGAGCCTGAATGGGAAAGAGGGATTATAGGATTTCTTTTCTAATGATCGGTTTGGGTAAGAGTTAACCTTTGGTGAACTAAAGTAAATCAATGCATCTGTTATGCTTAATATTTGTTTTGCTTAAAAAGCTGTGTGTTGGGAGATTATAGGAATGTCCCAAATGAATTATATTCCAAGGCCTACTTTTGCTATCCTCTATAAATTAAGATCAGTGAGTTGACCTACATATTAATGATTAGAATTATGATCCATGGTTCCTGAATATTACCTGGTGGCTTAGCAGTCAGTGGTTACAGCAATTTTAGCACCTACTAGAATGTGGTTTTTACTTTTCTACTGAACTAATACTTAAACAGTGCAGCATATCAAAATAAGACATATGAAGCCAGATGAGATTTTAGCTCATTCCATGACTAAAATCTTCCCTCTGCAGTAAATTTATAGACAATAGAAGCAGATTACAAATCACCATAACGATCTATAAATTACTAGCAGTGGGAAATTAGGCTCAATTTTTTGGACTGTCATATCAATGTGCCATTGCTAGTTAGTTTAGCTTCATATTGTGTGGTGTCTGAAATGGGTATCCAGTGTCTTAGAAGAGTTGGGGATCAATAAATAGAGGAATTAAGGGAGTTCAGATAACTCAATAGTTTTCAGGAGCAGGTGGGATTTATTCTGAACCCTCAGAGAAAACACTATGGACAAAGATCTGTCTTTCATCATAGTCAGCTTGCTAAGACTAGAAGGATTTATCAAGTGAAGGTATGCGTACATGGTACCAATGTTTAACAGGGACATCCTGGGTCAGCATGTGTCATTTTCAACATAAATACCATTGGGCTAGTTAGAAAAGTACCCCACTGGCAGCAACCTATTGGTACTAGAGCTGGGCCTTAAGCACAAATGAGCCCTTTGGTACCCATGAGTTTGGGGACTATATGGAGAGGAGCATTTTGAGCAAACCAACCCTCCCTCTCCCCCAGCAGGCTGGAAGGAAGGCAGCTCACTGTCCAGCCTCTTCCCCTTTTGGTGGCAAGTTCATCTGGTTTCCTTGTCTAGCTTCTTGGGACCATCCCCCCTTTGCTTGGAGCCATTCAAATCCAAAATCCAGCCTTACATAGTACACACAGTAGATGCCTTCATGAATACGGAAGATAGGTTTTATTTATCCGTGGTATTTATAAGGAATCTATCTCCATGATATCTAAGATCTATGTGTATCAGTTATGTTGAGCATTCAGCACCTCCCCAGTTTACTTCCTCCCTGTCTCTCTCTATTTCCAGGAACAGTCTGAGTTGGCTAAGCTCTTCACTTTTGTGACCTTGTAGATTAGGACCAAGGTTTTGAATAGAGTCTGGAAGTCCATGGGGAGTCAGTGGAGCGCCTGGAGCAAGGCGGCTATATTTGGGCACATTGTTTAAGAGGAAGGCTTCTGCGTGCTACATGAGTTGTAGCTTCTGTTTCTCCTAAAGCTGTTCTTGTGGGCACAGTTATTGTCTGGGTTGTTGTAAAGTGAGACATAGAAAAATGTTGTTTCCACACATTCATGGGCCAGATCCTGTGGTCTGGCTGAGCTGAGCATAGCAGACATCGGAGGTATGGTTCTGCCAACATGGTGTGTAGATTAGCTTTGCAATGCCCCATTCCTGTGGTGGCTGGGTGTGGGGCTGGTCCCCAGGCATAATTTAGAGCAGGCTGCACTTACTTGTTCTGGCTACCTAAGAGGCAGGAACTGCTGCCATTGATCTGCATAGGGTCATGCTTTTCCCCTTGGCCATGCCCCCTATGCCAGGAGCAGGGTATGTGTTCTACGGAGTCTATACCCAGGCTTTAGGCCACCAGGGGGTCACTCTTGCACTGCATGATCTGACTGAAGCTAGATATACTAGCTCTGTGGCTAGAATCTGCTGCCACATCACATTAGGGGATCTAACCCATTGTGCTTGTTTTTGTCCTGGATACTGATGATGATTGTCCTTTGTCTGTACGAAGAAGCACATGTACAAACTAGGCCAACTTTACCCAATGCTTCAGCAAGTCTCTCTCCTTGCCTACATCCCCCCACCTATCCCTTCATTCCCAACCTGTGCAAACAGACACCCAGCCCTTTCCTTCTTCTCTTCCCCCCCGCCCACTCATCGCATGCACAGCTTCTACCTGAAGAGCTGGCCCTGCAGTCTGTAGTGTGCTGCTAGAGGCAGGTGGGTAGAGCTCTTAGGACTCAGCCACAGACTTCAAAACAGCCACTAAAATCACCCTGGATTTGAAGTATGTTTATGGGTCCAGTGTCTCTCCATTCCCCAGAACAAAGCACTACATGCTATTGGAGAGGTGAGGTTACCGCTTCCCATTAATGTGTAGCAGTAGTTTCTGGAGGTGTCTGTGTTACTGGACCGTAAAATGATCACTCAGCTTGGACAGTGGAAGTAGCACGGTCAGTTTCACTCTTTGGTTCTCATGCACTGATGCAACATCCCTGTACTTGCCTCTGCCTCCAGCCTCACAGGTGCGCTCTGAAATGAGAGTAAAACACGTGGATGAAAACATCTGTATTCAGATTAGATGTCATAAACCTCCTTCCACCCCGGTTTCCTTTTCCTCCACAGTGGGACCATGACTGTGCTTTTACTCCAGCTCAGCTCCCCCTACCCTTGTACAAATGCGCAAGGGAGAGTTGATAAAAGTGGCAGCTTGAGAGACCAGAGAGAACAAAGGGTGTGTTTGGGAAACTTCGGATCCTCATCCAAGTCATCAGTCTGGGTTCAACCCCATGCTGGGGAGTTTTCTATTTCCATTCTGTGGTTGTGCTTTCTTTTTATACATCCCTACCCCAGAGGGAAAGATCTTACTCACTGCCAGGGATTTTGTGGTCTGCTGAGTCATTCCACCTATCTACAGACAGTGACATTCTGAATCCACCTCTCTCAATCCACATAGTCCTTGGAGCTCACGATTTTATGGACAAACAGAGCGCAGGCTGCCTGTATGAAAACCTGCCATGCTCATTTGGAATTAGGGAGGTCATAAATAAGCCACTGCTGCTTGACCAATGACATCGGTCTAATTACTTTGT